GATCGATGTATTCTTATAATATCCTCATATTATTGTGCGAATATTACTACCTCCTGCTGCTGCTTAACATATAATTTGGATATATTAAGAAAACTAATTAAATTATAGTTATCTATGTGTTGGTAATTTACTAAAATATATTTTTAAATTATTTGTATTGTAACCACTTCTTGATATAAACTTTTTTAATACGTGCAATAAAAAGGATAATTTATAAAAAATAATAAATATGGGGATAAAATGGACTAATGTCTTATATTTAGAACAAAACTTAATTCTAACTAGCTTTTATACTAGAGAGTCAAGGTAGTTCTACGCTAAGTGTACTGAAAATTCTTGATATATATATATTACTAAAAAAGTAATTAATTATTGACAGAATTTAATGGTGGGATTTGAAAATTTTGTCACAAAAAAGGACTATCACTTTCCTCGCCAAATTTCGATGCTAATTTACTGTTTTTTTCTTGGATAATATATATGCAAAAGGAATAGTTTTAATCAAGCTGAAACAGTTCTTGTCATAATATACAGTACATATAGCATTCCTTCTTCTTCTGCTGGGTCCTTCAAGCAAAGACGTCCCAAATATACAGATATTACAGTCACTTCATGAATATGTGTTTGTATATTATATATATAAATATATATTCCCCTCTTTATTTTATTTATTTAACATCCGATCATTATTCAAACAACACAAACGAACCTCTCTCTCTCACAGCAGGAAGCTCGGAACCAAAGGTGATTGACATTGATGAAATGAAGCTGCAAGCTGATTCCAAGGAAGTAGGTCCCAGTTTTGGTTGCAGAATTCTGGAGTGAGTGATGACGAAGAAGAAGAAGAAGAAGAGGAAACAAAAAGGTCCAAACTTGCTGGGAAATTAACCCTAATAGTATCATCATCATCATCCTCGACGACTCTCTGCTTTTTGTGTGTGACAACGTTGGACCTATTACTGTGTTTAGAACCATAGCTAGCGGGCTCATCATCATCGGATTCCTCAGAGAGACAAGGCATTGATGTCGTCGTAGGTGCAGTATTATTTCTATGAAGCTTATTACTATTGCCGGCAGATTTTCTGGAGATGGTTGAGTTCTGATAAGCTTGGCCCAGTCTCTCCAGGTACCTCCCTTGAGCTTCCATTTTCAGCTTCAAGCTCCTTTGAAACTTTCAATTCCATTCCAAACAATATGTAATTTCATTACCAGGCATTTTTGTTAAAAAAAAAATTCAATTGGGAGATTTATATACTGTTATTGAAACTTCTGTTTCTTCAGTTGATGTAAAGAGAAAAATATGTTCACAGATTCATATCCTAAAAATTTATGTTGTAAAACTTATAAAAAAATTGTAATTATATTTCTCTAGGAAGAAAACTACTACTGAGTTAAAATTATAATTTACAATATCTTCTATCTAAAAATCATAATATTTAAGCTGAAATCTTCAAGGCGTGGAGATCATACACATGGATTTTTTCCTCTTTTAATAAGGCGTTCTTCGTTTTTATAGCCTATCATAAACCAAAAATCCATATTCTTTTTCTTCAAGGTGAAAATAATTGTGTTTTTGTGCTGTTATTAATTTAATTTGACCTGCTATATACATTTTTTTTTTGTTTAACTTTAATGTCACGGAGTATAATTTTTATTTTAATTTCAAATTTTTGGCATTCAAGTGAGACAAAAAGATTATAGAGAAATATTTGGGATTTTTTTCCAACAGGAATATTTTTTTGTTAATAATCAAACTACTTCTTTTAGATTAAAAACTAATTATATTCCCTTCAATTATATTTTCTTCTAAAATTGAATAAAACCATATCATGTTGCAAAATTTAAAATGTTGCATAAACTTCTTATTATGATTAAAAATCCCGAAAAGATTCAACATAAAAAATTGAATTAATTCTGAAAATATATGTGTGTGTGTACCTCCAGCTGGTCGCTCAAGCGTTTTTGTACTTCCATTTGCAAGTGTAGAGCTTCCTTTAGCTGCACCGTCCTGATTATATTTTAACATGAACAAGCAATAACTAATAAGTAAAAATCATTATTAATATTAAAATAATATAAGTAATTAAGAATATGTCGGTATTTCCAATAATTGACAATTAACATATATATAAAATTAGAAGAATAAATCGTTGACGACTCACGCTAATGTGCTGAAATTAGGCAGTATGTCCGATATGCTTCTTCTCTCAAGCTTGCTTCCTTCTCAGCAAAAGTTAAAGATCACTAATTAATAATCTAAGAATTAATTATTGGTCTATGAATTAAGATTTTTCAAGCGACGCAGCTCAATTTGACAAGAAGTTTAAGAACTTACTAGTAGCAGACTCTGGAATCAACTTGTTGATCCTGTATTTCTGAAGAAATCCAAAACGAAGCTTGTTAATTAATTATTAATTACTAATTTAAATGGACCTTCTTTTTATACATTAATAATTAAGTACTTCTCCGGTCCTAAATATAAAATCTTTATACACACTAGTATAAGGGTCTTATATTTAGAACCGGAGGAGTATATGGTATATAGTAGGAACCTGTAAGTGGCTTTTGACGTGATAAATGGTGATTCCAGATGCCCCCATGCTCGTCATCTCCTTCACTATACTCTTTGGCGTTGCTCCTGCAAATTAAACCCACATTCACAAAGTAATATTATCTCATCTACACCCAGAAATTAATTAACAATAAAGCGCGCACGCACACACACACACATATATAAACACGTACTATCAGGGCCACCAAGTCTGTTGACAGCTTGAACGAAGAGATCATGAAGTTGATGAGTCCAACGAAGGCGTTCTTTTGCAGAGGCATCAGATGAGGAAGGGCGATTGGAAGCCATAGCTTCTCTGATGATCTTGTTGGACGGATTGAGTTGAAGGGATTAAATTGTGTGGCACGTACAAGCATTATAGAGAGAGAGAGAGAGAGAGAGAGGACAAAAACATTTGTAACATATATGGTTGGAGACACACAGGTAATTACCTAGGCTAGCTTGGCGATGCCCACTATGAATTTCTCAATTATGATTCTGCCCAATGTCTTCAGTTGTCCCAAGGCCAACCGGCTCTTCTGAAATACTACTACTTCTCTTTAAGTTATACGCACAATATATTATTATTTTATGTTTATCTTCATCAAAGAAAATTTATGCTACAGTCAATCTGTTCTAAACATAAGAGTTAGATAACTAATATACAAAAACTAAAAATATCAGTTAAGTTAATTATTTATAACAAATATGTGTTGTTTTCTGATAAAACATAATGAAATCGTGCAATCCATGTAATCAACTCTATTTAATGGAATAATACTTGTTGTTGTCGTGTTGATTTTCTTAAAATGCTCCTTTTAATCATGTGATCAGAAACTTCCCTTGTTGATCAAAATACTATCAATATATGCAATTAGAAAGGATTGGGAAAATAATTATAAATTTGTGAAATAAAATGAATTGAGATTTTATATCTAACATCAAAACAAATTCCTCAACTGGCATTTATATTTTAGAGCAGAGGAAGTATTAAATACCAAGTATTAGTATTCCTTCAGACATAAATTACCACACATAATCCATATTTGGAAGCGCTTAAAAAATAATTTTTTGTTTTATGAGACAAAATTTCTCTAACATATTTATATATTTACTTCATATGGACGTGAAATCACTTATATCCGCAAGTTGTAAGAAAGCAATTAAATTTGGCGAATGAAAGTTGGGTCTCGAGCACTATTTTTCATTCTGTGAGCTTGTCCTTGTGAAGAACTCCTAGTCAATATCGACATGAAAAAGAGAGCAAATAATTGCCACCAAAAAAAAAAAAACAGAGCAAACAATTATTTGCTAATATATATTTTTAAATATGAAAAATTTGTTCTCTTCTGTCTATGACAAACATCTTACAAAATTTTAGACTATAGCCGATAAATGATGCATATAAACAGAAAATCTTACAAGTTTGCTGGTCAACCTAAATTACCACACCAAGGATTTTGGTGTTTATTGTCATTATCCCCTCAACAGCATAGGATTTAGATCCCGATAGGTGACAATTGAAGTGAAGGACACGTTATGGTACATTTCTCTGTCGGCTCTTCGTTTTAAAGTGCGATTTATTACTATAAATCCATCATTCTAATCACTTGAATTTGTAATCGTCATCTGCAATAACCAGCCCACATCTTTTGGCACTTTTTCCAGCAAGAAGTTAAAGCAGTAGAGTTTTCTTACTGCTTAGGGAATCCTGAATTTGATGATTAAGACGCAGTTCGTCAAGAACAAAGAAATATTTCCAATATCCCAGGAATAAACAAAAAGTCGGACAATCCTTCTATGGCTTTAGGAGTATGTTCAATTATCTTGGAAGTAGTTTGGATTGGATAAACAAAAATCACCAGGCACAAAACTCAAGTTCGAAAATAATAATGTTAGTAGTCTCGAATTTAAGCTTTAATTTGAGTATATAGTCGTGTTTACATACTTTTGATGCCTGTGTAGTCCCATTGAACTCGATTTAAGTTAGTTAAAAGTCTAATGTACTTTTAAATATCAAGTGATTGATTGTGAATAAAACAGAGACATTTGCAATTCAACATAATATTCACATTTTCTTGTGCTGTTAAAAGATTATATTTAAACTCAAAATTAAATATAAATTATTTAAGTTCATATTTGAAAGTTTAAATATCACTTTAAGGATGAGCATGTCCCGATCATCTGAGTGGAGTGCCGAATTTGAAGCCTGCAAAATCAGGCTCCATGACATGATTTCCCAACGTCAACGAACAACGTTGACCACAGAAGAATATGCATTGAATCTTACATATTTGTCTTCATGAAATTTATACTACCAATTACTTTTAAGTTGAGATTGGGGGAGCGTCAAAGTGAAATCTTGTAAAATACGTTCCTATGCATTTTGGCTGAAGGTCAGATAAGAACGCCAATCTATACGGAAGAATTAATTTGGAAAAGTGCTATCTTGTGCCCAAAGGATCCGAACTCCACCAAATTAGAATATATCACAATCTATTTCTACGGTGTATATGACATTATTGAATATTCTCACCGAAGTCAAGCTTAATATCCCTCAGAAATTACGAGTTAAACATAGTAATATACCTGTTACGTGCCCTTTCGTAAGAAATATAGCACTATTACAATATTTTCAGACTCTAGTATCATTTTTTGCCTTTAGTCACCTAGGGCCTACCTCGCCTCATGCTACATGATGGGCATTTGTATTGCTTTATGCTCTCAGCCTTGGCAGGAGTAATTTTCACACATTTCCCGTGGAACCATCTCTCGCAGATATCGCAGCCAATCCAAAATTCATCTGCATTATAGTTTCCACCACAGCTACCACAAAGGGTTTCGCTATGCTCATCTTCATCCTCCTCGTAGCCTTCATCGGCAAACTTTGGGTTGCTTTTCACTTGCCCGTCATTTGATCTCTGAAAATCAAGGGAGAAGTTTGCATCAAACAGGAAAAATACAAAGTTAAATGCAATTTTCAAGTGTTTACTATCAGCTTCTTCAATAGAAAATGTATACTTTTTTTCCAACTGAGGAGCACGCGGGAGTCCTCAAAGAGATTCTTTCAAATACAACAAGCAGCAGCTTTGTTCCACTAGGTGGATTGGCTACATGGATCGTATGATGCAATTGTGCTCTATCAACAACTAAATTTTTGGATAGGTTGTTGACCAAAAAATCCCGTTTATGATCTCATTAAGTGTTCTTTCAAATACCATAATTTTATAGTATTATTTAAGAACAAATCATATCAATTCATCATTCCCCAAAGGCTCATCTCTAACCCTCAAGGATGTTATATATGAGCCTGGATATTAATCCAACTAACCTTGGTGCTGCCCCGAGATTTGCTACCACTGTCCACAGTGGGCTTGTCCTTTAATGGTTTCCTCTCAGTCACGACTTCAAAAACAGTGGGAAGATCATTGATCAAGCTGAATAACCGTTTCCTGCCATATACAACTAGTGTAACTATCAACGGGAAGAGCCATATGAAATATTGTGATTAGATGTGATAATGTTACAACAGATATATCGCATCTATGTCACCAACAAAAGATATATCGCATCTGACACCCATTCCAATAGCATTAGTTCCTGAGTAAAGCGCAGGGCGATCTATAGCCAAAAAACTAAGAAGGACCTGAGAAACAGAACAGTGCCTACATGATCTAAAAATACAAATGATAAGTCAAATGAAACTGCATATCCTTCTTTCAGGTACTTTAAGTGGCTTTAAAGATCTGGAATAAATGGAAGACTGAAAAACACTTCGCCCTTGTACAACAGAATTTGGTATTCTCCCCCTCGAAAACATTCTCAATTCAATAATCCCACACAACTTCTTCCAATATTGGTTTCATTTATTAATTGGAAAGCGGAAACAGCTAAAGTCTATACAATGAATGTAAAACCAGTTCACAAAGGTCAAACATTCATTTTTGCATACCTTTCAAATCAAAAATTAAAATTGTCAATGTCAACGTGGTTCTTAGAATTACAATTAAAGAAAGCCCCGAACAGTTAGACACCCTTGGAGGAGTTGGCCACTCACCTTGGCACCATTTCTACTCTTGTCACATAACTGAGCATTCAGATAATTAAACTTGTATGGGAACCCCTATGTGACGTTGCAGGTAAAATAAAATTATGTTAAGAGACCTTTTGCTGCCCCAATTTAAGAGATTTACTGAGACATCAATCATGATTATAGTAATTCATGCTGACCAACCACCATGACAATAGCCCATGTTTCCAACATGCTATAGAGTGTTTGAGTATGTCATTGACAGAAACAAAACCATAAAACCACTGGAATTGTCACCACACATATGACTCCATCAAGGATAGTTTGTACCTTTCATTGCGGTTAAGACGGGCCCCGAGATAAAAAGCCACAGAAAGCAACCACGAATCACTGTGGACAGCAACAAGAGAAAGCCAGTCCCTGCGGTGCATGCCATCTCTAGCAAAATTGATTCCAAGAGCAGGCTCAGGAAGCTCAGGTGGAACTTCCTCTGCTGGCAGAGTTACTTCCCATGTTTCATTTGGATGTCCATAAAGGCACAAGTTCTCCTTATCTTAAACAAAACACATAATTTGAATTTTAACGGGGGGCATATCTATATGCATAAAGCAAAAAATCTAAATGAGCATTACGGCAGGGCTTCAATATGTTATGAAGAAATTGCAATTCTTTTTGGATTCACCAAAACATTCTCCGCTGAGTCGAGCAGAAACTCAAGGAAATTATAGTTCAAAAATTCTGCCAAATCTCATGCTGTGTTTCAGTCAGGGAAGTCAACAAGGGAATTTGTAAATAGCCCACTAATTAGAACTATAATGTCATGGGGCAAACCGAAGCTTAGTCAAATTTGAACATTTTCAAGAGCACCCAGGACAACAGGCACGCAAAACTTTAGGCATTTATTTTTATTAAAAAAAAATTGATTTCCTCAAATTATCCAGGGGAGAAAATCAATTCTAACATAAATCCAAGAATGCATATTTCACACACAAACAAGCAACATCATAACTAAATTAGGAAATAAAAGATGTAACGAAAAGAAAATGAAAAGCTTCAGAATATTTACGTAAACTAAAAAAGTATACAGATCCAAGATTACGCGTTACCTGGATCACAGAGCCCATAAAATTCATCAACATCTGAGAAACGGAGACACAAGAAAAACAACTTTAAGACCCACCACAGACAAAATCAAACTGAAGAAATAAAATACAGAAACAGAGAAAGAAATAGAGTGCCTTGAGTTAAAGCACGAACAACTCCTGCTCTTCGAGCACTATAATCCTTGAAGATCTCCTCCACGGTGCGAGGACTAGAAGCCATTTCCATAACACGATGAAGAGATCTGAGCAAATCGATTCAAAATGAGTATACTAGCACAAATTGAATGTGGAGGAGGGATTCAAGAGATCATGAGCACGGATCCAAGAGATCGTGAGGGGCACAGAACAGAAGCATATGGAAAACGGTTCCAGAAAAGCAACAGAGAATGACGAAGACGAGAGTAGTCTGAGTAATACGATCATTCTATAGCTTTTCATTAAATTATACATTGACCCACACATTTTGTCTGGGATTTTCAATTTGGTCCTTAATATCTATAGACAACAGTCGATTCGTCCTTATATTTTTTAATTGCATTTTCACATATAAATATATAATTGAATTTATTTATTTTTTTGAATGATAAATTGAATTTATTTTTAATAATCATCTCATGCCAACTTTGTTGTAAAATCCACAAACTCAATAAATTGACTAACAAGTCAGTCAAATTTTCGTTAATTGAAGTTTCAGTCTTATGAATAATAATATAAAATTATGTTAAAAGAATTATCTTCAATCAGGTCAATAGTATTCAAATTTAATTATATAATGCTGATTCTAATATAATTGTATAACAATATTATTTTTAAAAAAACTGGTAAAATTCAAGTTATTCATAATTCATGGAGATATAAGTATCAATTACAAATATTTCTAATTTATATGAAGGAATAAGATACACTCTTCTCCTTCAACTATTCTGTTTTGATGCCATAACTTAATGAATGCAATCATCAATATTTTGATTTGATTTAATGTCGTCATTTAAAAATTCTGGATATAATATTTTATTATTTTTTATTAATTTGGCTTGACATGATTTTAAAAATAATCAAGCCAACCGCCACCCTTCACTATATGTAACAACCAAAAAATCCAACTCAAGACCTCAAAACTAAAAAGTTACATGGAAAAAGAGAACTTAAATTTTAACATTATTTTCGAAGGTTCTAAACAAAAAAAAGAAAGAAAGCTTGAGATTTTAATTTTATAATTATTTTCAAGAAATTTCAATAACTTAAATTATTAGTTATATTATTTATATGATTTGGTCTTTGATAGAATTTAAGGATGTCCTATAATCTATGTAACCAACCTCACTAAGTGAAATAAATTTTTGTTATTCCTCCGATCCTTAATATAACATCTATTTAATTAATTTGATTAGATTAATAAAATTAAATAAATTAGTTAATTATAAGAAATATGATATGTTTTTCCTAAAACATGTTATCACATTTCTTAATATTCTCTCTTTTTTTTTTACTTGATTATAGTTAAAGAATATCAAAAAGAATAATTTAGAAAATTAATAAATATGAAAAATAGATTTTATATTTAGAATTAAAATCAACTCAACAATTAAGTCATATTAATTACCAGAGGAGTATTAGTTATTGATTATTCATAATCATATCAAAATAAAGAGTTTCCATGCAGAATTTTTTAACTGAGAATCCTAAACTATAATTTTCCTAAACATATACAGCAAGGGCTGCCATGTGACAGGACAGCAGCACCGGCATAAAGCATGGTTTCGTAATGGGCATATCTGCAACCTTTGACCTAGGCTTAGCAATACGAATCATTATCCCAGCAAGCATGGTCTCCAAAAGAAGTGTTGTACGGACACCTGGTCCTGATAAGAGCACCTATAGATGGTGCATTGTCCCATACTCATAATTGTGATGGAGCACCATTATCCCAGCAAATATGGACCAATTTTCATTCAATAACTGATAATTGAATCTCAAACCAAAATTGAAAAGATGGCATCTCTGTTTCAAGTCATTTATAAGTGATTTCCACGTTTGCTGTGATATGCACATGGCTTGCTGAAAGCTATGATCGTATATCAGTGATCATCTATACATGACCAAGAGCATAAAACAAAATGATCTGTGATCATCTCTCTCTCTCTCTGCGCGCGCGCGCGTATTTGTGATTGTAAAGAATTCAAATGTGCAGGACATGTGGTTAGCGGCAAAAGAACAGTCTAAAATTAGACACAATAAAGTAAGACACCTGAAAATCCTAATTATCATTTGGTCCAAATATTAACAGACTTCACAAAGCATGGATTCCCATTTCAAAATTGAAAACAGAAAGCAAAGCAGATGCAATCTTACATGATATGGTAAATGGCAGCAAGAACTACTAGTGGAATTCACGGTGATGTCAGTAGTTTCTTAAAGCCAATTTTCTGCTCTGATGTGAGTCTGGAGGGGAACTTGATGTTGAACTTGATTCTCAAGTTACCCTTTTTGGAGGGTTCTTTGGGAATAGGCATGCCCTCTGCTTCAACAACTTCTTCATATGAGGGACTAATGATTGAATTGATGGGAATAGTAAGATTCCGGCCATCAAGGGTAGTCAGCTGCGTCACATAACCTGTCAGGGCTTCGATGAGAGATATCTTTTGGGTGACAATAAGATCATTGTTATCCCTCTTGAAGACACTATGAGTTTTCTCATCAATGATGAAGACAAGGTCTGCAGGTATAACTCCTCTCCGTTCATTTCCCTTCTCTGGAAAAGTTATTTTTGTTCCTTTCTTCCAACCTGGCTTGATCTCAATTGCAAGAATTTCCTCTACTGAGGTCGGCTTCCTACAGAAGAAGAAAACAGAGTAGATTCGGTAATCATAACCAAAAGTAATTTCATAGACTCTAGTTCCATAGCCCCTTTTCCCCGTGAAGCCTGCTGATCAACCGTCAACCGTCAACAGTGCTAGCTGAATTGTGTAAGGTCAATACTGAACTATATGGTAAAACCCTTTGTTCAGGAGGCGCCAAATTTCAGGTCAAAAACAAAAAAGGCGGAACAAATTCAAATAGCCAAGTGTCCGCAGAAGCCGAAGTCCTAACCTTTCCATATGATGAAGTCACCGTTTTACTGAAAGCATCTCGTCAAAAGTTTAAAACAGGAGTTACAACTGAAAATACATATTGTAACGTATCAAAGTTTCACACCAATTTAAGCACTTAAGCTGCTTGCTCCTCAAGAGCGTAGGCCACAGTTGTTATCTATGGCCCAAAAATATTACAGGGTCAAATAATTCTGGAATTTAAATGCCTCTAACTCTACCTCTCATACAGAAAAAACAGCCTTGGACCATTTTTAAGATTCAAAATAGCTCTGCCTCTCACATGCATACTCACGTAAATGCAGTCCAATCCCAAGTTCAAATACTGCTACAAACTTTGATGGCACATTTTAGAAAAATCAAGACTCCTTACATCACAATCTTCTCAGATTGAAACCTGCAACAGGAAACAATCATAGGCATTCCCATGATAAGTATCATGTTGTCTGATTTGACCTAGGTTTCCACTCGACATGATTATGAAAACTAACGGAAAAGATCATATACCAACTTTTCTATTGTTTATTTAAAAGTTGAAAGAAAATAGGAACAAAAAGGAGCATCAATTGAAGAACAATTGAATCCCTTGAAGGGAGCTCCAACATGCATCAGAATCTCAACAATTAAAAACACGTTAGAATGAATACCAAGAAAAGAAACCCTATTAGAAAAATAAAGTATTTAACAAAGATAGTGATTCCTCCATCTTTTGATAATTTCAATTAGAAATGTAAAATTTGACTGTAGACAATCCTATAGATGTGTGACTGAAACAGCTATTTCCTGCACCACTCCAGTGCCTGAAGCATAACAGTGGCATCTTGAACCACAATTGGAAAGGTTATTCTTCAAGAAATTTTATATAGAAGATATGCATGTCAAATAATAGCAATGAACGATATGTAAGGATTTTGACACAAGTTTGACATAGCTAAGCGACAATGAAATTGTCTGATAATGGCGTAAAGCCCAAGCTAGAACATTAAATAGCTCCAATAGGTAGGGAACTATATTTTACAATACTTAGAATATGAATCTTTTCCATTTTACCGATTTATATTCAAAGACAAGTTGGGAATTGAAACAACTGGCACATCATATTGTCCCCATATAGGTAAAAGGCTCTAGTAGAACAGAAGGGCACAAAGATGTGCTTCCTTACTTAAGGCAACCTTTTTTTTTCCAGAAGCATTTGCCTTCAACCGACACAAATGACATCATTTGTTTACTCGGCAGCGGGGTCCACAGGTCCAAGCTTGGATGCACATGACCAAATTAGTAAAAATATAATGTAACTGAATGTATAATCTCTATTCTTACTAGTTAGACAGAAAAGATGATGAAAGATGCAGATCCTAGCAATCATACCATGATTAATGTAGTAACATTAGCAATAAAGATAGCTCTTTTGGGGAGACAGCATACAACCACAATTCCTAACGAGATTAGAGGATAAAAATGCATCCATGTCAAAGATCTCAATCCCTCTCAGAACAGTTTGCCACTAAGAGGCTTAGTACAATGAGGCTGAACATGTAAGAGCGAGATGGCATAGCTTACTTTCACATCAATATATTAGACTGCCATAATCAAGCCAACCGATCAGCAAATAACAAACCTTCTTCGCCCACAAAAACATTAAAATGGACCAGGTATCACCTTGTTTTTTTTAGTAACTTGTTATTTGTCTATTTAGAAATCCAAGTTCACCCGCTAGCACATTCATGGAGGTAAATTCAACTTGCGGAATGGGATTTTTCTTCATAGAGGTAAGCAGGAGTGCTAATAAGTTGAAGTAGAAAGCTCACCCAGTGGCATCGACAACATCTCTCGAAACCTTCATTTTTTTTGTAGTTCCTTTATACAAATCCTCCAAACTACATGGCAGTTTTCGTTCTATAGCTGCACCTTTCCTTGGCATATTCCCTGAGCCATCTCCACCTCCCCTCCTAAATGAAGCAAAAATATCATCGCCAAACGCACCACGGTGAAAAGTGGACCCGCCAGCACGCCCTGCCGTTTCGCCTATTCCACCAAACGGGCTGGAAAACTCAAATAACTCCGAAAATATATCATCCGCACTTCTCGGGTTGAACCGAAACGTCGTTGGTCCACCGGAAAACTCGGCAGCGCCGGGTGGCGGTGCCTGCCCATTCAACCCCTCCTCACCATACTGATCATACACTGCTCGCTTTTGCGGATCACTCAAAACCTGTTCAAGTTTAAATCACTGGTCAAACGCCCAAGTCCAAATAAACTCTCTCAGTTAAATCTACTTAAATTATTCAGCATTTTAAAACTTTTCAGATTTTCTCATAACCCAAGTCACATTACGCTGAATGTAAAATGAGAGACAGCGAATAGCAAGGATTCTAAATGCAGGCATCATACATCATAAGCCTCGGATATTTGCTTGAATTTAGCTTCAGCCCCTTTCTTGTTGTTAGGGTTTTTATCAGGGTGCCACTTCATAGCAAGCTTTCGATAGGCCTTCTTGAGATCATCGTCGTTGGCGCTTCGGTCTACATGAAGAACCTTGTAGTAGTCGACGCCCATGCCTTCCCCACTGGGAAGCTCTCACTCCGCACTTGGCCTTCGATTTTCAGGAAAGAGAGTGCACGAACCAGTGACCCCAACAGTGGGAAATGGAAGGGAACGCGTCGAACGATCTCACAGAACAATACCTGAGATACGCTTCAGATGATTGATGACATAAACTAACTAATCATTACAAAAATTGGCTGTTTTGAAAATACCTTCCAAACTCGGCTCAAAAACAAAACAAAAAGAACTGCCAAACAAGCCACCACGTGGAGACTGGATAGTTTTTTTTCCCGTGTCTCTTTTTTTTTTTCTCATAAACTTTTTTGGGCCAAAATCGCAAAAAAAAAAAAATTTAAAAATAATTTGAAGGGTGTGTTCCGCTCCCAAAAAAAAAAAATTAAAGGGTATGTTAGAATTTAGATTAGTTTTGCAGAATAGATTTTGACGATAAATAACTTTTTTTATATGAGTGAGGAGAAGTAATTTTTTTTGCTAAAGTATAAATCATATTCAAAACATTGTCAAATATTAAATATAAATATCTCTTAAGATTCGAACCTTAATTCATCACACTGTGAAGAATTAATTTCTTCTACTGGGTCTAATTTGAAATCATGATTTGCCCAAAAACTGGACTGATATGCTAGGCTGAAACTATGATTTTGGGCTTTAGAATAGATTTTGGGTTTTAATGAATGTTTAGATAGTTTCTCTGAAACCATGGTATAAATTGGAAAAAAAAAGTGTTTTTTGCAAGGAAAGAAAGTGATTTTTATATCCAATCCATTAAGTAGCGTGAGTGGGACAACTAAATTTAGGAAAGGAATTTCTGATGTATTATTTATTTATGATATGCTCAGGATTATAACTTGTATGATAGAATTTAGTGATTTAGATTTAATACTAGTTTCTATAAGTTATTATGCAACATTAAAATGTGATTTAAATAATCTAGAATTATAGCTGTGGGATAAAGAAACTCAGCGGAGAATCAGAGGGGAATGGAAATGAGAAAAAGCAGGATGGGCAATCCACCATTGATCGTAGTGAAATTTTTAAAAAAAATTAAGAAAACTTCAAACCATATACAATGCGCGTATAAAAATTTTAACAAATCACGTTCTTAGATCAATATTATAAATCCGCTATCCCATATAATCGATAAACTTTGTTGAGATCACACTAATTTTTTTCTCAATTAAAACAAGTTTTTCAAATAAAAAAATTGAATAACGGGACTTTTTTTTAAAAAAACTTTCAATATTTTTTTTGAATTACACGTGGCAAGCTTAAAGCTTGAGAGAGTTATATATCAACAAAAGATCAACGACAAGAGAATCAAGAATTAGGACCGAAGTCCTCAATTTCCTGCGCGTCTCTGTAAATAACAGGTCTGCAGTACTCCACCATTTGTGGCAACAATTTCAGCTGCACATCCTCTGAGTGTGCCTGTTGCGCTAACTTACAAGCACATTCCAGTGTTTCCCTATTTGCGTGTGCCAGTTCGACCTCCCTGTCCTCATGTAATAATTGTCTTGTTTCCTCAATAATCTGTCCATAAGGATGATTCTCGCCGCTATCTCTAAGCAGGGTGCTTATCGCTTCTAATGAATCAGAGAAAATTTGGACTTGCTTCAATCTGACATATTGGCAAACTTCCAATCTGATTGCTGGAATTTCAGCTATTGTAGCAGGATAGAAGCCAAGATTTTTTTTAACTTTCAATATACTATCTCCAGTTTTAAATATAAGAGCTAATTGACTAATTTAAGTAAATAAGAAAAGAAGTTACGTTAGTTATTGTAATAAATATGTGTTATCTTTTTTAAAATATCCTTATGAATCAAATGTATTTGATTAGAACTATTATTATTAGAAAGATTGTCTTTAATCAACGGGGGTTGATCCAAGTAGTAAGCGGCTTGATACCGCTTAAGCGAGGTCTCGAGTTCGAGCCTTACGATAGCCAGGTGCGCAACGCAAGTCGGATTTAGATATAGTCGAAACAAAGCTCCGATAAACTGGTTGGACAACCAACAAAACAAAAAAGAAAGACTGTCTTTAAAAAAATACATAAATAGATTCAAAATGGATTGGAATCTTATATTTAGAACAACCAACAAATTATCATATAAGAAACTCCTTTACTCTTTTTATGGTCTGAGAACGAGCACTGCCATTAATATTGTAGCTTATTATATTTTTCATATTTTATATTGAGTATTGATGTACTTAAAATAAAAACAAATATCATATAAGAAACTCCTTTACTTTTTTAAGTAGCACATTTCTATTTGGAAAAATTTTCGATTTAAAAAATCATATAATTTCAACATTGACTATCCAAGTCATTCCACTTCTAAATTTCTTCATGTGTTTAGCTCTCTTGCTTTGCATTTACAAACAAAAAACTCTTCGCTCAAAAACAGCCATTATATTCACACTTCCTTCTTTTTCTTTTTTTAAAACTTCACGGAAATTAAAAGCTTTTAAATGGATTTGCATTTTGAATTTAGGTTTATTAATAGTGGTTTAAAACAACTTACTTATGGACAAACGGATGAGTTTTAGGGATTTAAGGACTCGGAAGTAGGAAACCTTTCTTCTACTAGATATGGAGGTGGAGACGTTTAAAACCCACCCCATGACCATTCCTATGCTACCAATGAGTTCCGAACAATTTAATGTAGAAATATATACACATCCGTAACAAATTCAAAATGTTATTTCTCGAGGCAAAACCGAATTGAATATATGAGGAAAATATGATACAACACAGGGCAAGATACATTGTTCCCTTGCTTCCACCTCCAAAATTGCGATGAACGCTAACACCTGAGCTTCGTTGATCCCTAACGTAAGAATACACCTGGAAGAGGGTAGAGCTCTTGATGGATGGCCCAACTATCTATGCATGTCATAGATTCACAAGTTCTGGTTTTTCATACTCTTTTAGCTGAGAATCTGCAGGATAATCCATACCCATTTGGATGAAGTTTCCCATTTGAATTGCCTTTGTGCAGACCGCATGTGTATATACCTCTATTGGACACGATTTATTCAGAAAGTGTTGTTCACATGTCAAATTCAGCAGAACAAATCCTGGCAGCTACACGTACATTCATGTGGTGAACTCGAAGAATCTTTCTCAGCAGAGTTCAATCATTCAACATGATTACCTAACAAGTCAACTAGCTGTAGAAGATTCTTTGGATTTTTCTGTTGCTGTATCCTTGTCGGAGTTGCCAGTCTCACTAATCTGTGTTTGACTAGTTTGTGGTTGACTTGGAACTGTAGGATCTGATGCAATTCCCAGAACAACCAACACGGACCTAAAGAACAAATTTCACGGGATAAATTTAAAATTACAACTTGTGAAGAGACTGTTTTAGTAGCAAAGATGAGATCTTAAGTTCGGAAGAAACGATGGGTAAGGGATCCATTTTCAAACAATCTTCTAATGAATCATCCACCCTTAGAGATAGAATGGTAATAAGAAAAAGAAATCCATATCGTTCTCAAGTGAACTCATGAACCTGGGTAGTGAAGATTGGATATCTGGCTGACTAGCATGAGCTACCAATGGCGCCTTAAGTGCCGCAGATCTGTTTAAAGCATTTTCCAGTTGTGCTGGAGGTAGCTGCATGCAACCATACACCATTATAAAATAAACTAAAAAGCAGCCTATAGAGATTCAAAATGCATGCGTTTGTGAAACTGAGACATCCCAGAATCAGAAAAATGAGAGTTAAAAGACAACGCAAGAATGCTCTGAAAAGCATTTATTTATTAAGGTAGGCTTGTGTTAAGTGTCACACACACACACACAGCAGAGAAATTAGCATAACTCAAGATATAGTTAATGTGGGTTTAAAGTCTCATCACCAAAGACCCAACTCACCATTGCAGCCATATTTTCATACCACTGGTCCTCAATATAAAAGCTAAATAACTAATTTGGAAAAATTGAAGAAATGACAAATTTGTGTTGATTTTCCTAAATTATCCTCTTTAATCACATCTATTAAAACTATCTCTTAGTGGAATCTTTACAATCAGTAGGAATGTTTTAGAAAAACAAAATTATAAATTTAAAAGACAAAGTAAATTGAGATCTTATATTTAGGACTAAATTCAATTTCTAAGTAACTCTTATATTAAGAACCGGAAATAGTATTACATTAACAACCCAAGCATCGGAGTTGTTCTGTGAGTTGACAAGGGAGGAAAGACTAGGAAGAATGGAGTAAAATTTGATTGTGGAGAAGGGCAGCTGAGTGCATGGTGTCGCTCCAATATAATTTGTGACAAATCAGGCATGAAAAATCAGATGAAATATTCTTCTCATTTTGGCGTAAAGTACTATAATATTCTTGAGCATATCTTCCCTATTTTTAACACTTGCGACAGAAACTTGCTGTAATTTATTTGATGTTTGCTTCCGTAGGTTTTCATGTGGGCACCCTGACAATTACTCATACACAATACCACAACTACCATTTGAAGCTTTCCTCTCTTTAATGCAACCAACAAGACAGAATTCTTCAAAAATAACGTGTATAGAACAGTGAAACAGAAACAGTAAATAGATCGGAGAGCTTTGAATTGAATACCAAATTAAAATGAAATCAAGTTCCAGAAAACCGAAAAGACAATCAAAAGCAGACAATCATACCTGAAGCAAAACACCAAATGACTGAGGTTGTGTCAATTGCGCACACTTCAAGAATCCCACCCACAACTTTGGGTATTTCCATATCTGCAACAGTTCATTACGTCATTACGTCATGCATATGCACCGAATAACTCCAAGAATTACCAAGAGAGAAATTGATATATAAATATAATCACCTGCTTTCCCACAAGACGAGAGAGAATACCCATTATAAAGTCCACCTAGAAGAATTTAAATAAGTCAAATTCTAGATGTATAATGATAAAAAACAAACAATTAAAAATCAGTTGATGGAAGCATCTAGAAGAATTCAGAAGACAGAGAAGTCTAAGGTTTGATCCGTGCAGAGGTTAAATATAGCCTCCTAAAACTCAATTGTTGATGTCTCAAAATTCCTTCCTTCTAGAACAGTGTAAAACGTAAGACAGACTCAGGTAATACTCGTCCACTTGCACATGCAGCAACTGCGCATTATTGCTTA